GAGATCACTCAGAAGAAACATGGTGCAGAACATGCTTAGCTCAAGCAGGATCAAAGAGTTTCGAAGTGTGAGGGATAACGCAATGGACAGACTCATCAGTAGGCTCAAAGCCGAACGAAGCAGAGGCCAATGATGGGGTGTTTGGGTTCTCAAGAATGCAAGGTTCGCTGTGTTTTGCATACTTGTAGCGATGTGTTTGGATTCGAGATGGATGAAGAAACAATAGAGAAAATAGATCAAGTCATGAAATCCGTTCTCATCACCTTGCACCCCAGAATCGATGATTACTTCCCAATTCTGAGCCCTTTCTTCTCAGAACAGAGGAAGAAGGCTTTGAGTGTTCGTAAGGAGCAGATTGAGTTCTTAGCCCCAATCATTGAACAACGAAGAAGAGCAATCCAAAATCCAGGTTCTGACCACACAGCCACGTCGTTTTCCTACCTAGACACCCTCTTCGATCTCAAAGTTGAAGGAAGGAAATCCGGACCTAATAACGCAGAATTGGTCTCACTCTGCTCGGAGTTCCTCAACGGCGGAACAGACACCACAGCGACGGCCGTAGAATGGGGAATCGCACGGCTCATAGCGAACCCACAAATTCAACAAAAGCTGTTCGACGAAATTACTCACACAGTCGGATCCAAAAAGGTAGATGAGAAAGACGTCGAGAAAATGCCATACCTGCAAGCCGTAGTGAAAGAAATCTTGCGCAAGCATCCTCCGACGTTCTTCACTCTCACGCACGCAGTCACAGAGCCAACCACACTCGCAGGATACGACATCCCTATCGACGCAAACATCGAGATCTTCACTCCAGCCATCGGAGAGGATCCGAAGCTATGGTCCAACCCGGAGAAATTCGACCCGGACAGGTTCGTCACCGGCGGCGAAGACGCAGACATAACAGGGGTATCCGAAGTGAAAATGATACCGTTCGGCGCCGGAAGAAGGATATGCCCTGGATTGGGTATGGGAACAGTGCATATTCATTTGATGATGGCTAGAATGGTGCAGGAGTTCGTGTGGGAAGCGTACCCGCCGGGGAAGAAGGTGGACTTCACCGGGAAATTGGAGTTCACGGTGGTGATGAAGGAAAGTATCAGAGCTAAGATCAGGCCCAGAAGCTGAAAAGTGAAAAGTTGTTATTTACGCGTGTGATATGATTTATATCTTGTTTGTGGTTTTTCTTTTAAAACAATACAATTTCAATCTAATATTATATATTTATGTATATTATCTATTTCTTCTTAATCATAAATCATAAGAACTGTTTTTTTTGGGATGTTTTTTGAGACCGTGATAAATTTAACTAATTCTAAGGGTCATGTGCTTTTTACGTAAATTCTAAACGTCCTTCAAATAATTATTTTTTTGAGCAAAGTCCTTAAATAATTCTAAGGGTCATGTGCTTTTTACATAAATTTAATGTATATCACTTAAATAATTACTCTTCCGATTCTTAAATAAGACTTATTTAACTAATTTGATTAAATTAAAAAAGTTAGGTAAGTTAGTTAATTGTAAGAAGTATGACATGTTTTTCTTAAAACACTGTAATAATCTTTCTTAATATCTTTTTTCCTTTTCTACTTGATTATGGTTGAGGGAGTATCCATAGGGTTAATTTAAAAAAATTATAAATATGATAAACAAGTATTATATTTATTGCTAAAATTAACTTAATAATTAGGTTCTATATTAAAGACGGGAGGAGTAGTCTAATAATGTGGATTATAAATAGGAATAGGAAGAAAAAATAATTTAATGGGAATGGTTCCACTTTAATCAGATGAGAACAAGTTACTAGAATTCTCCGGTTAAATTTTAATACTTTGTATTTCGTTATAAATAAGAAAACATATCTCAAGAAGTTTGATGGGGTAAAGTTATGATAAATATAAGCAAATAGATTGATTTTTTTAAAATGGAAATATAACAAAATATTTGTCATCAATTTTTGTGATTATTTTATTTTATTTGTCATCTATTTATGTATACGTATTTTATCTTTTCAAAATAGTTCATAACAAATATTCGCCATTTGTACGGTGAATCTAGAGAGCAGAGAGTTGATTCTTTGATTCCAAGGTCTCATTAATTTGGTGAAAGCAACGCTTTCATGGAAGGAACCTCGTGAAGAGTGTGAGCTACGGACGTGTCACGCCGCAGCATATATAAAAAGGCTGAACTTTATAATAATAATAATAATTTTATGTTGTGGTACAATATAAGATCATGAAAAAATCTCAAAAAATAATTGTTAAATTTTAAAATAATAAATCAGAAATTATTATAAAAATATGTTGTTATTTACTTTTTGAATGTAATTATTTTCTTTACAAATTTAGTAATCAATACTGATTTAGAATTTTAAATTTCCAGTTATTTTTTTGAAATTTTTCCTAAAATCATTCTCATCTCGCTTTACACAATACTTTTTCAAAATATATGATTTATTTGTTTAACTAAATTATTTTTAAAAAGAAATATATCGATATTCAGCATCAATGACATAAATACTGTTTTTATTTTTATGACGTTAAAAGTATGGAAAATATTATAAAAAAACTAAGAAAGTATGATTTTCATGAGTTTTTTTAGAGAAAAGCATTTTTTTTAAAATTTTGTAAATAAGCACTAACAAGAAATTTAGTTTAAGTATTGAGATGCAAATTCCACAACGAATTAGTTTTAACTTATAGTCATTTTTTCAATCATATACTACATCCGATTCTAATTATAAGATATTATTTACTCTATGTGAAAACTTATTTTACTGAAAACTAAATTTCAGGAGTTTTTAATGATATATCATTTGCAAGATTTAAAATTGTTTTGAGAGACTCATAACCCCTGAAATTAATTGAAAAAAGCCTAAACTAATTATTCTTTACTAACATTTTAACATGTTATTAACATGTCAATTATAAGTATTACACTGGTTTTTTCACTTTATTTCATATGTAACATGTTAATAACATGGATATTTAATGCGTTAACCTCGAAATATTTCATATTATGTTGTCTTTGTATTCATTTTAATGTATTGATTATGTGATTAATATTTGTTCAAGGTACTGTTAAATACTACCTTTGGTATTTACTATAAGACCTTATTTGACTTTTATTTTGGTCCTAAATATAAAACCCCAGTCTATTTTGTTTCTAATATTTATGTTTTTTTTTAAGGTAGTCCTTCTAATAATAGTAGTCGTAATCAATATAGTTGATTAGTAAAGATATTTTAGAAAAGACAACACATATTTATTACATATAACTAACTTAACTTATTTTCTTAATCTCTTCAAATTAATCAATTAGATCTTATAATTAAGACCGAAAGTAGTACTCCTCCAATATTAATATAGGACCTAATTGTTGAGTTGGTTTTGGTCCTAAATATAAGACCCATTTCTCATATTTATCAATTTTCTCTAAATTACCCTTATGGATACTCCCTCAACCATAACCAAGTAGAAGAGGGAGATGAGATATTAAGAAAGATAATTATAGTGTTTTAGGAAAAATGTGTCACTTTTCTTATAATTAACTAACTTACCTAACTTCCTTAATCTAATCAAATTAGTTAAATGGGTTATATATTAAGAACCAAAGGAGTATTAAATATGGATATACTACCTCCGATCCTAATTATAAGACCCAGTTGACTTATTTGAAGAGATTAAGGAAGTAAGTTAAGTAAGTTATTTGTAATAAATAAGTGTTGTTATTCCTAAAATATCCTTGCTAATTAAATATATTGGCTAGAACTATCATTATTAGAAGGATTATCTTGAAAAAAAATGCATAAATATGAGAGACAAAATGGATTGGGGTCTTATAATTAGGACCAAACAAAAAGTCAAACGGGATCTTATAATAAGAATCGGAGGTAGTATCTTATAATAAGAATTCGTCTCTTAGTTTGTTACGTCACAATCAAACCCCGTCGGCCAGATTGTGGAAGCAGCAGTGCTGCTACAGTTGGGGGTGATGGGGGAAAGAACTCACTGACCGCAATTTTCGCCGTCCCACATGCCTTCCCAGACACCATTGCATTTATGTCCCTTAACGGTATCACACCCGTCTGCGTGATGAGACTCACCACGTCGCCATTTGAATTTTCCTGCCCTATCCACCACAGTGCACGTGGAGTAAGGAGCAACCATGTATGTATGTGAACTGAAATGGAAAATACATTTAAGGAGAAATTGAAGGCACTAAAGAAGATATTTAATTATAAAAAATCCTAATAATAAGTGATTGGGATTGCCAATTATTGACTTTTGAGTAATTGTATCTCCCCAATTATTTAACTTCCTGCTGTTATAAATGCAACAAAACAAAATTGAGGCCAGGTTTATATTGTTCTTTTTTTTTTTTTGGGGGCTCTCCTGTTGCAAATATGGACCAAAATTAACTTTATATTATAATTCATATTTAATTAATCAGGTTATAATCTTAAACCCAACCACCAAAATTCGGTTCAGTCCAAACTGATTAAAAGCTGTAATATACCCTTTATGGACCACTTAAATAGCCTAGTAGGTCAGATGAATGGCAATGCAAGTGAGAGTGGAGCTCCAACTCTTCAATAAACATGAAATATCCAGGAGGAAAGATCACGAAAGGAAACTGAGAGTAAATATTACTACCTCCGATTATGAATATAAGAGTTAGATAAGGAACTCACTTTGATTCTAAATAGAAGATTTCAGTCCATTTTGCTTCACAAATTTATAAATCCTCTCTTAAAGTACATAACAAGATGGCTGCTAATTAAGAAGTAGTTCTAAGGCAATTAATTAAAAATCGTCAGTAACATTTATGTGAAGCTAAGACTTAAGCAAATTTAGATTAAAAATTATCTGACTGCGTTAATAATTTCAACAACAACAAAAATTACATGATTCAAACTATAAAATGATTTATATTAAAGAGAGTTGAGTTTGAGAGTTTTCAAGAAAGAAGACAGTGAGACAACAAAAGATCTATACTATATATACAGCAAATCAATTAAAATTAAGAACAAGAAGCGGCCCCCCAGCATATCATCATATTTTACTACAACTAAGAAGCATATATAATAACTCTACCTCAATTTCGTGTTCAGGCCACATTAGCTTAAAGGGATTGATGGGCTCTCTAAATGCTTCTTTTCTGCATCTTTCATGGACTGATCAACATCACTTAAATTGGTAACATTCTCTATAGCAACCGTTCCACCCCCTTCAGCTGCACAATGATCCTCTTGTATATCAGGGTTTCTTGATGATAACTCATTATTAGCCATCATACAGTGATAAGGATGAGCCTCAATAGATTCCACACCAAAATTGGATCGAACAACGGCGCTGAACAATGGTTGCATTATGCGTTTCCTCTCGGATGATTTGCGCAATGAGATTCGACAAACTGGGCATGTTGAATGTTGCTGCAGCCATAGGTCTATGCAGGTTGCATGGAAGAAGTGTCCACAATAGGGGAGGATGCGTAGTACATCCTCACCTTGGTATTCCGATAGACAAACTGTGCATCTATACATCAACAAATACAAATGTTCATAAGAAAGACATAATTAGCAGAGAATGCCCCAATCTACAAGGCTTTTAATAAATCCAAAGTCACCAAAAGTAAGAAATAAGAAATCATATTGTGATATCAGCACAGGTGCAGTAAGTGGACAAAAAAGATTATGATATCAAACTCTATTCAAGAGACTGCTGATGAACAATAGTCCAAATCCAGCTGGTGTAAAAACATTATCTGTACCATGAAGAATAAACGAATCAAAACATACTTTCTCTGAAAAGCATACCGTAGAAAGATTTTTCTCAGTTATTCAAGGAGCAAGTGGGCTCCCCCTCGCTGATGTGAACATCAGGTAAAAACCAGACCATTCTAAGCTCTTCATTATGCAAAACTGAAGAACAACCACCAGTTAAGAGAAAAACGCCATTTTTGTCAAAGTGGGGCAGAAAGAACATGGATAATTCTTCACATCCTTGGCTCAAGTCACAACAGTTATAATATCTCCAACTAAGGGAATAAAGTTAAAAATGGTGGATTTGAGTCTTAGAAGGACATGAATTGGAAGGGCACTGATAGCCGATGATGCTCATACCAAGATACTTATGTTCCTTTTTCCTAACTTCTTCTACTTGCGATGCTAAGATAATCCCAACTTTTCCCAGCTTAACTAAAAGTATTTTTGTTGATAATTCAAATAGGAAACAGTAATTTCCAAAAGCGTGCTGAACTTTTCCCTTGTAAAACTGCGACTTCACATAGAAGCAGAAAGAGCAGAGAGAATCGAATATATATCATCTATCTTTCCCCGGCAGAGGACTGACTTTGTCAATCAATTAACAGATTAACAAGGGAACACACATATAGTATTATCCAAACTCATGACATAGATGGCCATAAACCCAGAGAGTGCATTTCATTCACTCACACAAGTCCTTCACTGACTACGGTTCCTAGCAATGTTCAGAGTTGACTTCATTACCAAAGCCAGTCTCAATTTTTATTTTTCAAATGAAACGACCAACGAGTAACGTATACTCTGAAATCAACTTTGTTCCTGATTTTGAAACAAATTAATAGGACTAAATCTAATCTTCAAGCACCAAGCAGTACTTGCCAAGTCAATATATAATTATCCATTGTTCATGCCCCTTCCTATATTAAAGAGTGCGCATGGGAAAAAAACATCGACACTAGAGATGATGATAATATTTCAAAAACAGAGAAATGAACATACTGAGAATTTTCTGCAGCAGCAAAGCATCCATCACTGTACTTCTTCGTCGGGAAATTCGCTACTGCTATGGGTTCAAGACCATGAAATCCTCGCTCCAGCTGAACACGGGAAGATGTTCAATGAATAAATCCTCAGAGCAAATGAAATGCACTAAATCGAAATAGAGCACTGTGATGAAAGGGCAAATTCATAAAATGCAATTAAATTACATGATTTTATCAAACAATTGAACGATACAACTTAAGAAAAATAAACACATTACAAACAGAGAGACAAGAGGTTGAAACAACGCAAATCGATGCTTACCAGACTGAGATTGGATCTGGAAGCAACAAGGAGGGATCGGCGAGAAGCATTTAAGTGAATTCGAGCACAGATGAGTCTAGTGCAAACGAAAACGATAAACATAGTGCTCACCGCAAATCCAATCACAGTCATCACCAAGTTAACCCCAGAAGATATCATAACGACCAAAATTTCCCAATCAAACCCCAAATTCAAATTCGAAACGAGAAACCGGCGAAACCACACTAACACATACGAGCGATCACGTCCTTCATTGTTTCAAAAAATCAGACAACCAATTCCAAGTACACGACGAAGTAGGCCCCTTGGTAGCCCAGGTGTCATCTTCTAGTGACACCCAGTGGCGAGCGAAAACGAAGTAAATCAAGAAGGGGTTGTCAATCACACAGAATCTTTTTTCCCTCTGAGGGAAAGCTTGAGAACTGAAAGGAAACAAAGGAGGAAGCAACTGTTGTATTGAATGGTGAAACTGAAAAGGTGAAGCCTAGAAAGTGGAAGTGCCATGGAAGTGAGGAAGTGAAGTGGATGGGACTGAGAAAGGACAGCGTTGGATTGGGAAGATGGAGAAAGGTGTCATTTTGATGGATGCAGATTTGGAGACCCCTTTATTAGAATATAAACGGAGGGATAGAAGAATCATAATTGGGAGCGATGATGCCAGATATTTTGATTTTTTATATACCTTTCCCCTGTAATATTTTAATTAAATATAATATATAGAATTTAAATAAGATTAATTAATTGGGAGCAATGATATTTTACTTAAAAAAATTAATTTGGGAAAATATAATTAGAAAAAAAATTAATATAATTTTTGGTCCCTTGAATTTGTTTTTGTTTTTGTTTTAATCTCTTAAATTTTAAATAATAAGTTTTAATCCCTCAAAAATAAAACGATCTAAATTTTTATTAAAATATAAGGTTCAATATTTTAAATAAAAAAATTTAAATGACTGAAATTTATAATTTATAATTTAAAAATCAGAATGAGAATAAATAAGTTATCCTGACCCTTGAGAAAAAAGAGGATTTTGTAGCACTCAGACCAAAGCATCGTACACATGTCTTATCTGTGACCCACGTGTTAAGGTTTCCCCACTGTCATTATTGGGAAAATGACACAGAGCACCGCATTGGACTTGATGGATTCATGCCGGAGAAGGGTGTCCAGAAATTCGTTATCGTTTTGATTTAATTAGAACACAACGCTACTACCCAATCTTCATAGTTTTTAACGGTTAAATTATGACACCTACGTTCCATCCAATTTAGGTTCAAAAATTAACTAACAGTCAAATCAAAACTATACGATCTAAATTGTACTGAGCTAAAAATTAAAAATGGGTTATAATTGAATCAAAATTGTAAAAATTAAAAGATTGATTTTTAAAAAAATTAAATGAAAGTTTATATTTTGAAGTTGGAAAATTAAAAATTGGAAGAAAAAAAGATTAAGCAAGCTAGGCTTTGATTTGCTAGCTAGAAAGTCATTAATTAAAGACTGTTTATACTAATCAGACCAAACTTCATTATAAGTAAATAGTAATTACTTTATTACCAAGGAACCCCTTAAATGGCATTATTTAAACAGTAGAAAAAGACAGGTAGTTTTCTTTTTTTGTTACAAAAGACAAAATGATATACATATATATATGTATAAAGCTTTAAACAGAGTACTAAAACATAAAAAACTTAAGCTATGTTCTATAAAATAAGAAAATACAGCTTAAAAGAAAGAATATGAACATCATGAAGAAGAGCTAGAATTTATTGCCATGTGACTGATGAAACTTGATGTTCGTGAGCAGTTATAATATTAAAGGAGATTTTTTTTACCCAAATAATGTGCAGATTTAAATGATTTTTTGGTTAAAATAAATGAAGACAGAGGTAGTTAAGCTTCAGAACTTTATGGATTACCAAAACTAGGATTACACATAACTTTTAGATTCCGCTTGATATAAAGTACTGAAAATAAGGGATAAGAATTGAGATTGTAATTGAGAAAAATTATTAAAAAAATATTTAGCATGAATAATTTACCTATTATATGGGATTAGGCAACCTATTGAAATAGGATTGGAAAATATCACATCCTACCATAGTATTTTTCAATCCCACGTATATGGGTTTGTCTAATTCATGTAATAAGAAATTTTTCATGCTAAATATGCTTTTAACAAGGTTTTTCAATCTTAATTACAATCTGTATCTCTTATTTTTAATGTTCATATCAGACGGAAGTTTTATAACCCTGAATCCAATGCCAAAACAACCTCAATACCCTCGATCCCAATTCTTTAGGCTGGCTTCAGGACGAATGGATAGATCATCATAATCCAAATTCTCAAATCTAAGGGACAACGTAGGGGGATTTTATCAACAACAAAAAGATGTAGTTAAGCAATATCAAAATCAGATAGCTTATGTTATTCAACTCCTCGGTATTTACAAAAATAAATGTCTATGATATATTTATAAAAAAAAGAATCAAATAAGGACTTGTTGAGCGCACACAATACTATGCATATATTGTTTTCCTCCTCATCTCACAAGCATCAATTCAGCAATCAACCAATAACTTTATAATCTAGCAATATAAAGATTTCCTGATACCTGAAGGTTACAAACTGAATCCTATTTATAATCTCAGAAGTTTAGTAAGCTTGTGGCCTTATCTTCCTTTAACATCCTTACCGCCGCTAGCAGTATTTCCCTTGTCACCAACGTTGTCATTATCTACAAGAACGGTTCTCACCTTAAACCGATCCAACTTCAAATCAGAACCGCCAGCAAGTGACCGTTGGCCCACGCTCAAACTTCTCTGAATCGTGTTCACATTGTGCTTCGATTTGATCCCAGAGAACAAGGCTCCGATTTTGTTGAACAGTTCCTCAAATTCCCCTAGAAGCCCAGAAGGAACAATCTTCTGAAATGTCTCTTCTCTTCGGTAATACAGATGCCTGAAGAATTCCAGCAACCTCATAATCCTCGGATCAGCGGATTTTCCTGCCTCTGTCTGAAATCCATAGTACTGATTGCACATGTCCCCGAAATCATTCTTGAGCATGCCGCTAGGACTTTTGTCAAACAGTTTCGCTGCAATAGGTGGCATTGCTTGCTTGTGAGATTTTCTTGCTTCTTTCAATCCTTCTACGGACGTACAACTCTTGGGATTAATGGGATTTGAAAATCTGAGGGAGAGTTTTGGTCTTGATATGTCAAGCCTATGTGCAAAGATTTAACCTTTGAGCTGTGTTTATATAGGGAGATGGAGGGGTACCGTAGTGTGCAAGCTTGGAAAAAAAACCTTACAGAAGAATTTGCAGCCATCTTCTTTTTATTTTTCAAGAAGAATCTTAATAGATGCTGAATACTCAGATTTGCTGGATGACGGCAAAAAAACGGGTGTTTTTGAAAATTTGACTTGTCGTAGATCAAGGAAACAAGGAAACAATAAACTCTGATGAGACTTGTAATTGTTACTTGGAGATGTGGGTTACTTGCAGATTTAGGACTTTCTGTCACTGGAAACTTCGACGTTAGACGTTATCTATGCCATACATTTCTTTAAAAGAAATGTCTAAAAGGATAAACTCATATTTCAAACAACGATTTGCTGTGTTTGGGTGACACCCAAACCATGGTTTGGGGACCTAAACCATGGTTTGGAGAATAAATCACCAAACACTCACTCAAAAACCAAAACCATGGTTTTAAAAAAAAAAAAAAATTTTATTTTGGGAGAAAAAGAGAGAATGTAAGAGCCTATAGGATATGTATCTTGTTATTTTTTTATAAAAATATTAATCTTATATTTATAAATATATATACATATTAATTAATTATTAATTATATTATCTTATGTATTATTAATTATGTTAATAAAAATATATTATTAACAATTTATTCCTTCAAATTAAAATATATCATAAAATCTATTTTTTTGTAATTATCATATTAACTTATGTCTTTTTTTTAGTAATTGTATATATAAAAAGTGCTTCTGATAACAACTATTCAAACACTCTCACTTCTCAAAATCACTTTTTCATAAAATATATTCTTTCCAGAATCTATTCTCCAGAATCACTTTCCAAACTACAGTTTGGTTTCATCCAAACACACGCTGTTTTCTATCGTAATTTCTTTTACTCACAAGGGATTAAAGACTACCCTTCACTGACAGTGTATTGAGAGTGAAAAATATTTCCTTCACTTTTATATGTAAGAGTTGCATAATAAATTTGCATATATTAAAAAACGATTAAGGTGTAAATTTATTTTATAAATTTTTGCTCAAGCGCAATGTTATCTGAAGGTTGAGGATTTAAAATTGCCCCGAAAATGTCAAAATAGAGCAATGTTGCCTTTTATTATTCAACGTCAATTTTTAACTACTGATGTTAGTTTTTTTTTTAAAAAAAGATAGGACAATATTGTTGTGTTTTGAAACTTTTGAGTGACATTGAATTTATTAAAAAACTTTCAAAGCAATATTATTGTTGAACCAAAAGTTTTTATACAAATTTACACGTTAATCCTTAAAAAATTTAGTTAAATTAATTATTTATATCAAATGTTTATATTTATAACAAAAACAAACTCTTCAACTAGTTCTCATATTTAGAATTGAATAAGTACAGTTTTTCAACTAGTTTTTTGCCCTATAGACAAGAGTTGTAGGGTTATATACAAGAATTATAAATCAAGTTCTTAACCATAATCAAAGTAGCTAAGTCTTTATTTCTCAAATTAATCAGACTTAATTAATTAATTAGAAGCTGATGCTTTTATTTGGAAGATGATACCTTCAAGGACTTCATGTCAACTCACATAATGATTCAGGAGGAAACTTTCAAGGTATATTAAAAAAAATGCTTATGCTTGAGCCCGAAATCTTAAAGTGCAAAAGTCCCGATGATCCTCTCGTAGTTTTTAAACTTGCATATTCATTTTAAATTGATGTCAAACTGTAAATATTATTAAAAGCAAAATGATGGCGAGAACTAATTATAATTATAGTTTCATTTGTATATTTTTGGGGCGCCACGTTTTACAAATAGCAGAACACAAAAGCTTTTAAGGACCCATTTGGTTAGAGGCAAAAAAGGATGGTACTGTAATGTTACCATAATGGGTAAATAGGCCTGATGACCATTACCAACTATTTATGTA